AGCAAAGATTGACACAGCAGGAGAGGTCGAGGCACGCCAGGACAGCAGAGTGGCCATCGCCACCCCACATCTGCAGCTGCAGCCAGAGCCTGGTGTTGAGCCAGGAAGACACAGCCACCGCCACAGGAAGACACAGCCACTGCCACAGGAAGACACAGCCACCGCCACAGGAAGTCACCACCACCGCCACAGGAAGACACAGCCACCGCCACAGGAAATCACCGCCACCGCCACAGGAAGACACAGCCACCGCCACAGGAAGACACCGCCACTGCCACAGGAAGACACAGCCACCGCCACAGGAAGACACCGCCACCGCCACAGGAAGTCACCGCCACCGCCACAGGAAGACACAGCCACCGCCACAGGAAGTCACTGCCACCGTGACAGGAAGTCACTGCCACTGCCACAGGAAGACACTGCCACCGCCACAGGAAGACACAGCCACCGCCACAGGAAGACACTGCCACCGCCACAGGAAGACACAGACACCGCCACAGGAAGTCACCGCCACCGCCACAGGCAAAACCGGGGCCCAGCAAGGAAGCAAGCAGGGCGCCAAGCCTGCGACCTCTGACCTTGCGACTGGTGAAGCACAGAAACGCAGGAGGCCCGGGACAGAGACAGCAGGCAGCTTCCTGCAGTCCTGGGCAGGGAGCTCAGCTTCTGACCGGACAACCCTCAGCCTCAGACCCCCCCTTCCTCCCTTCCCCCAGCGTGGTGCTGACTGTCACAGCACCGTCTCGGGTGGCTGGGCTCGGTTCTGGACGGGGCTGGGTTCAGACCCGCCATCCCTGAGCTTTTCTCCAGCCGGTGATGCACGGGGGTGGGGGTGGGGCCCTCGCCCTACGGCCCCTCCTCCTGCGCAGTCTCTGGGTTGATCTTGGCAGTCCTGCTGCAGTCGCGAAGGGCACCTGTGCTCCTCGGGGACGGGCTCCAGGAGACTCAGAGGTCACAGGTATCTGGCCAGTACCACACCATCTTGGCTGGGACGGACGTCGAGTCACGAGGAGGCTGGCATCAGATGTGGACCGCACACCAAGTGCCAAGCGCTGAGCCCATCCAGCCGGGTCTGCCTTTGCCACACAGAGCAGCTGAGCTCCAAGGTGGCTCTGCTGTCTCCGCGCTGCAGATGGGGAAATCGGCTGGAAGGCAAAACCGCTCACCCCGAGCCACAGAGCCAATTTCAAGCGCAAAGTCAGGGGTCGGGCCAAGGCCTGGCCCATCCAAAGTCTCCTTGTGCCCACCACACCGCGTCTGGGCAGGGAGGCGGCCGTTTGGGACACTCACTCTGTCGGAGAACAAGGGGCTCAGGCCGGTGGGCAAACAGCCAACGCCTGATGTCCAACGCCTGATGTCCAGGTTGTTGGCCGGGAGACCTGCCAGGGACAAGAGGTCCGTTCCTGAGACCCCAACCCCAAGCCCAGATCCTGGGGCCTCTGTAGGTGGCTTCTTCCTAGGAGCATCTAGGAGTTTACTCCACTCTCCAGGCATCCCCAGCTCAACTTATCCTCTGCCCTTTGGCAAGTCAGCGCTCCCTCACCCCTGACTGGCTGAGCTGCAGAACTAGTGGGTTTGTAGCAGTCAGTGGAGGCCCCACTGGTGGCTGTAACAAACAGCCCCTCATGGCAGTGGTGAAGCCAGAACGTCCTCCTCTTGGGCCGCAGTGCACTTTGGGTCAGGGAGAGGGTGTCCCACTCCTGGCCTCTTACCTGGGTCTCCCTGCTGGCCTCGGCGTCCTCCCAGGCAGGGTAGAGAAGGCAAACTGTCCAGACACCTCAGCCCAGTGCAGGGCTCACTTCCACCTTCAAGATGAGGGCCAAACCAGCCGTGGGGCCCAGGTAGAGAGAAGGGACCAGCCAATGTGGCCCCGTGGGTGCCGAGAGGGAGGACAACCTGGACCCAGTGACCACCCGGCGTCTCTGCCACAGGGTTGGCCTGATTCTGCGGAGCCCTCGGCCACCCTGGAGCCCAGGCAGGGTCTGCGGCCAGGCCTCCTGGCCCCTGGCTTCTCCCTGCCAAGCCGGGGAGGTGGGTGGCGGGTGAGATAATGATCCACCGTGCTCTTGCCTCTTGGAAGGCAGGCGCTGGAGGAGAACCAAGCCCGCTGTGATTTTTCTCCCTGTTCCTTCACATGCGCTCCCGGGATAAATTTAGACAGCGCCGCTCCCAATGGCGGTGCCCAGGATGCCGGCGTCCCGCTCCAGGCGCTGTGGCAGCGTGCATCGTCGCTGTGGTAGCCCTGGGCAGGGAGCAGAGCTGTCAGGACCGCCGGCCCCCTCGCCTGCCCCCATACTGCCCCCTTCCCTCCTGCGTGGTCCCCTCCTCAGACAAGGGTGCGAGATCACAGAGTCTCGGCTTTGAGACCTGCTTGCGTCCCTCATTGACAGCCAGCAGCGCCAAAGGCAGGACAGCTTGGGGTCGCGGGTGGACTCCTGGGCTTGGGTGGCTCGGGGTCCCGGCTTAGGCAGCTCCCCTCTCATCTGTGAACCGCCCACAGTGGTCCTGCTTCCGGGACTGACTGTGGCAAGGGTCTGTGTGCATTTCTGTGTGTGTCCGCGGCAGGCGTGGAGGTGCCGTGGTCTCTCCTGACCTCGGGCCTCCCGAAGGCCACAGCAGAGGCGTCCTGCGCCTTCCGCTCTTCCTGCTTGCTTCTTTTCCATCTTTGAATCTCCCTCCAGGGCTCCCAGCAGAATCAGGATCTCGAACTTTGTTATTACTTTTTTTCCCTTGTTGTTCTGGGGCTGGAACCCAGGGCTTCCTGCACGCTAGGCAAATGCTCTACTATGGAGCTACATTCCCAGCCCTTCTTTTATTTTTACGTTGAGACAGAGTCTTGCTAAGTTGCCCAGGCTGGCCTTGAACTTGCAATCTTCCCACATCGGTCTCCCAAGGAGGCTGGGAATCTCCCTCCTGAGACTCCAGGTGTGCCCGCCCGCCTGCCCAGCTTTGTAGGAATGAGACCCTTCCTGGGGTAAGCCCCTTCCTGGGGTCCGTCCTTGTACCCTCAGGCTGCTGCAGCCAGAAGGGCCTGCTCAGCCTGGACCTGAGCAGCTCTGTCCTGACAGAGCTATGGGAGGAAGCTGGCTCCGCCCTCTCCCTGTCCCCGCCTGCACCCCCTTCCTCCTTCCGGAAGGAAGTGCCTACCTGCCCCTGGCTCCTGGGAACATTCCCCTCCCTGGATGGTTGGCAGCCTTACCTGGGCAGCAGATGGTTTGCTCGGTGCACAGCTGGGTCGTGGGGCAGCAGGGGCACGCATGTCCCCTCCCCACCGATGAAGCTCTAGGCCCGCGCTCAGCTCCCTCGGTGCACAGTGGCAGTGAGTGGGCGATGTGTCCTGGGGCAGACGCCAGGGTGACCGGATGGGGGCACCATTCACAGAGATCAGCGCCCAGGCAGGGAGGAAACCAGACAGGCTGGTGAAAGACCCCCAGGCTGGCAGCTCAGGAACGCAGCTACCAAGTGCCTGGCAGGTGCAGGGCAGTGCAGAAGCTTCTAGAACTGGAGAAAGCTGAGGTGGTGGGACAGGGCTGCCCCACAGGCTGTGGCCTCAGGTGGAGAACCACGGCAGAGGCTCAGCAGCCTCAACACCCTGGCTGCCCGGTGCTGCTGCCCACGGGCCTCATGGTGGCACTTCCTGTTGATGGAAAGCCCCCCACTTGACTCCAGGCTTGGTAGCTCCCAAAGTCATTTTCCCGTCCCTGGGACGACACACTCCACACCTCTAACTCCAAGGAAGATGAGTTTGTTTTGATTCAGCCTATGCTTGCTTGGCTCCAAGGAAGGGTGTGAGAGAGGAAAGATGCCCAACCAGGGCAGCCTGGAAGCAGCGAGAGGCCACGCCCCCAGTGACCCGCCTCTAGCCAGGCCCCGCCTGAGCAGTGGCAAATGTGTGACCATCCCCCTCCGCAGTGACCTTCCGGTCACCACCTGTCCCCTCTGTCCCATGCCACTTGGATTGGCACCTCCAGGGAATGAGCTCTCAGCCCCCGTGCCTGCAGCGGGGCCTGGGGACAGATGGAGGCAGGCGGCCAGCACTGCATAAGAGCCTATGTGTCCCCACATCCATGCAGAGCGCCCCTGCCGTCTCACTTAACCCTCCCCGCCTTCCAAAGACACTGGTGCCAGGAGCCCGACTTCTGCGGGGCGGAAGCCCAGCGGGCTGGTTTGGATCACAGTGGACCACAGGGCAGAGTGCGCCGGCTTTAGGAGCTCAGCGATTGCAGCTCCGCCCCTAGTCCAGTGCCTGCTGACAGAAGGGCACAGGCAGGCCCCCGCCCGGGCACCTGCAGAAAGGGGGTGTGGACACCCCGCTCTGCACTCGGCACCCACCTCTGTCTGGTGAGAGTCGACGTGGCCCCGTCACAAGCGCCCGGCAGCTGAGGGTGCCCAGTGGCCGACCAGGAAAAGGGACCGAGGGCAGACCCGGTGCTGGTCTGCTGGGTGAGCATGGACAGGTTATTAAGCCCTCTCTTGAGGAATACGAGTGTCACCTCTTCATGCTGTACCTAGGATGGCTGCCGGGCGACCTGTCCACCCACCGGAGCCATCCAAAAGCTCTGCTGGTAACCGTTCTGCAAGTGCAAACCCGTTTCTTCACCAAGTACCGACAGCTAATGTCGGCCGATGTTTCCCGGTCCCGGGACTGCCCCACCCCTGGCCACGGGACCCCCAGCTCTCCTCTCAACCTGTGAAGCCGGGTCTCCGCGGGTCCTGCTCACAGAGGAGGGGGCTCGAGGCCTCACCGCTGGTCAAGGCTGCACAGCTGATGGGGGGAGCCAGGCGGGCTGCCCTGCAGCGGGCTGGCCTGGGCAGGGAGCTCCTTCAAGGCGTGGCCAGTCTGCGCGCTGGGGTCGGGAATCTGCTTTTCTGACGGGTTCCCAAGGTGACGCCGGTCTGGGTGTCCGGTGGCCCCCCAGGGAGGACCCTTGTGGATGTGAGGGCCTGTGGGGCTTCAGACGGGAGCCCCCAGGGGACCCACCGCTGCCCCCGGCCCCCAGGTTCGCCAAGTACTACAAGATGGAGAACGGTAGTGAGTACCGCACCCTCATGAAGGCCTTCGGCATCCGCTTCGACGTGCTGGTGTACGGGAACGTGAGTGCGGCGTCACTGACCAGGGGGGGCCCGGCCCTGCCTCCCCATCTCCTGACGGATGGGACTGCTGCCCCCCAGCACCCCTTCCTCCTGGGAGCCTGGCTCAGCCCCAGGGCTCCCCCGCCCCGCTGCGCCTTCGCCCCCCACCCGCTGTTCTCTGTGCCCCAGGCCGGCAAGTTCAACATCATCCCCACCATCATCAGCTCCGTGGCGGCCTTCACCTCCGTGGGAGTGGTGAGTCCCCCTCTCCACTCGGCCTCCCCCTCCTGCTGGCCTGTAGCCCTGGGGCCAGCACCTCCTGCGCTCGGTGCCTCTGAGACCATGTGCCCGGCCGGCATCGGGGCCTGAGAGGTGACGAAGTCCCCGTTGTCTCTGCCAGAAGCAGCGGGACAGCAGGCTTTCTGTAGGGTGGAGCCGCCCTCACCTGGGAAGGGCGCACCCGGAGGGGGGCTCCCGGGGCCCTGCTGCTTCTCCCGCTGAGCCCTCTGTGCTGAGGTCTTGGGGCACCCAGGAGCCGGCAAGGTGGCCGTGAAGCCCCTCAGCCCAGGCATAGCTCCTGGAGGAAGCCTCCCTCGGCCTCCCAGACAGTTCCGGGTCACCAGTCCCTGTCCTTCCGCACGCCCACCCCTCCCCACAGCCCCTCTGACCGCCACCTCTGTCTGCAGGGGACCGTGCTGTGTGACATCATCTTGCTCAACTTCCTCAAAGGCGCTGACCAGTACAAGGCCAAGAAGTTTGAGGAGGTGAGCGGGGCTGGAGGGCCAGGTGGGGAGCTGGAGCCCTGGGACCCCAGAGGTCATCCTGAGGCTTTAGAGAACAGCCCAGGGCCCCACTCATCAGGGGACTGGGGGACACAGGGTCATTGCATCAAACCCCACCCGCACAGGGTCCGCTGTGTGTCTCTGGGCCGCAGGGCACCTTGGGCATCCATGTGCCCTGGAGTACCTGCAAAGAGTGTGGGGCCCCTGGGCACCAGCTTGGTCACCCAGGCTCAGACGCCCTCCTGCCCGCAGGTGAACGAGTCCATGCTGAGGGTCCCCAACCCCCTGGACCAGGCCACGGCGGAGAAGCAGTCCACAGACTCAGGCGCCTACTCCATCGGCCACTAGGGCGGCGCTCTGCGGCCCACACGCACCCTGGGCCCTGGGTCTCCCAAGAGGGGGCCCTGCAGGGAAGGGGCCTTGGGAGGTTTCTGGACTCGAGTGTCCAGGCCCCTCCCCCAACTCCCCGTCACCCCCGCATGCCCCCCCCACCTCCCAGGACCCCCAGGGGCAGCACTGTGCTGTCCGTTCCAAAGAACAGAGATAATAATCAGAGGACAAGTGCCCACGAGGGTCTCCGCGTGCGGGCAGGCACATGGCCCGATCTCCTGTAACCCTGAGAATAGCCCTGCCTGGTGGGAACTCCCTTCCCCGTACAGAAGAGAAACATTCTCACAGCGACAGAGACGGCCAGGAAGTGGGGGGCGGGGATCTGAACCCAGGTGGCACTCACCCCTTGCGCACACCTGACAGAAGAGTGAATCCTGCCCTGCCCCTGCCCCTGACCTGCCCCTGCCACCGCCTTGCCCCGGCCACCGCCCTGCCCCGGCCACCGTCTTTCCTGACCCCGGTCAGGTCAATAAAGAGCAAGCTTTTCTGGGAGCGCAGGCCCCACTTCCGGACAGCCAGGCGGATGGGCGTGGGGTCTCACCCCTGACCTGGGGGCCCCGAGTTTGCAGGGAAGTGGGGAGAGGACTGTTGGGCAGTTTTCCTTGTCTGCCCTCCGGGTGGGGGCCGCCCCTGGGCCTGGTGTCCTATCCCTGTCAAGAGGGCTGGCAAGTGCTTCTTTCAAACACTGGTGAAGAAACTCAGGTGCCACCTCGCGGGCGGGTGGAGGGGGGCAGTTGCCAGCCCCGCCAGCCGTCCCTGTGCCTGCTGGGCCCTAACAGGCCACCAGTCAGTCTGCAAAGGTGAGAAGCTGGGGGGCTCTGTCTTGGTTACCCTTCTCTCGTTGCTGGGACAAAATCCCCGACACCCAAAGTTAGGGAAGGAAAGGTTTATGTAGCTCACAGTGTGTGGACATTTCAGTCCATAATCAGCTGGCTCCAAGGCAGGGTGGCACAGGGCACAGGGGCAACAGTTCGAGGGGGCAGAAGACAGCAAAAGCAGCAAGAGCAAAGGGCAGGAGGCAAGGCTGTTTTCCTCCCTTATACTGCATGCAGGCTACACACACACACACACACACACACACACACACACACACACCCAGGGTGGGTGTAGCGCTCACGCCATCTCCCCGCCCTCCTCTTGCACAGGAGGAGGAGCTTTACAGAGTAAGGACCCTGGCCCCCTGCTAGGTCACGGAGTTAAACTTCTAAACTTCTCAGGCTGACTCTGAACAACGTCCCAGAGCGTAAGGGCGTGTCCTGTACACCTGAGCCTGTAGGACTGCTGTTACTCAGATGAACTTCTAGACTTCTCAAGTCGACTCAATGTATCGACCATTGTAGGCGCCTGTGCTGTGTAGGTCGAGGGCCACTGTCCTTAGTGCTGACAGCACCTTGCTTTCTCTGCGGCACTGGGGCCCCTCGGCCCGATCACTAACGCAGTCATGGGCACCCTCACACCAGCCCTGAAAGGGTGCGGCAGTGTGTTACTGATTCTCTTTGATAGAAAACCACGCTGACAGTACTTAGAAACCAGAGCAGGATATCAATTGATTCTTTAATGACAGCATTTGCTGGGCGTTGTGGTGCATGCCTGTAATCCCACACTCAGGAGGCTGAGGCAGGAGGATGGCTGTGATTCGAGGCCAGCATAAGTTACACAGTGAGTTTAAAGCCAGCCTGAACTACATAGTGAGAGCTTGTCGCCAAAAAGACAAAAACCAAAAACAAAATCCCCCAAAGACGTGGCATAAACGCTCACTTTTGAAGCTTCCCCATTGGCGAGCAGCAGCTACATGTGTGGTAGGCGACACCTAATCCTCCTCTCGCTCTGCAGAAAGAGAAACCGAGGCATGTGCTTATCAGAACTAAGAAGTGGACATAGGACACTTGGGCTTCAACCCTGAGCTTCACCACTCTGGAGCTTGGCTATCTGGGAAAAATCAGGACCTGTGTGGACACCTTTGTTGGTTGTTTGTTTTGTTTTGTTTTGTTTTGTTTTTGAGGCAGGGTCTCTTACGTGGCCCAGGCTGGTCCTGAACTCACTCTGTAGCTCAGGATGGTCTCCAACTCTCAGCAATCTTCCTGCCTCAGCCCACTGAGTGCTGGGATTTCAGGCGTGCGCCCTCATGCCCAGTACTTCTTTCCCTTATGCCAGAGTCATGCAGGTTTTGCTGCAGTAAGGAGGAAAAGCTCAAGGTTTATTGCGGATCGCTGTGCAGGGACCTGGAGCTGGAGGGTTAGGGGCCCTTTAGCCACTGGGCCTCGAGGGCCAGCTTCATCCCAGCCACCTCTCCTTAGCAGGCTGCAAGGCCCACAGCTGTCCGGGGAGCCTGCAAACAGGGTCTCCCTGAGTCTCCGGGACGCAGTGTGCTTCCTTACCTCCTACAGCAGCTTCTCTTCCACACACACTCGGCTGAGTTCCGGCTCACAGCGCCATGTGCCCAGCAAGCTGGCAATCTGCCTCTGGCACCTTCTTGGGTCACCTCTGAGGCATTGCTTCTCTCAAGAGCATTTGCTTTGCAGTCAAGAGCTGCTCGAGAACGAAGGTCTTAAGCAGCAGAGGGACTGAACAGATGAGGGCAGAAGTGGAGCCCACTCGCAGACAGTGCAGGGATGGCGCGCGCCTGGCCGGCCCTTCCTTCAGTCCCGGAGGGTCTCGGCGCCTGCTTGGGGCTGGGAAGGCAGGCCCAGCACTGGGGAGGCGCTGGCAATGCCAGGCCCATTCCCTGCCCCGTTCAGGGCTCTCATCTCTGCCTCCTGCCACCTCCTGGTCCCCAGGGCTGTCCCCCATCCCTGTCCTGGTCCCTCTACTCCCGCACCCTTCGCACCCAGGGCACCCGGGAAAAAGGCTTTTCTACTCCAGCCCTGTGCCAGGGGTGCTCACCCAATAATGTGCGCACACATGCAAACGCAGATCTGATGCGGTGTACTCAGATGCATGCAGACACACACGGACACACACGCACTTTCAGCCACCCAGGGGTGCACACCCACACACTCTCCCGGTCACACGCACAGATACACAGACACACGCCTGGGATTACAGGCACCCACCACCACGCCCAGCAAATGCTGTCGTTAAAGAATCAATTAATGTCCTGGATACCCACGCCCTGAATACCCAGGTGCAAATGCACGCACACGTGTATGCGCAGTCTCTCCTGGCCAGTGTCCTACCGGGGCAAGGTTAGGGAGGCAGCCTATCCTCTCTCAGGGTCCCCAGGCTCTGAGCGCCACCCCAGTATTCCACATCAGCTCCGGAATCTGCTTTCCATTTTGCAAAGCTGCCCGCCCTGTGCCCCACTCTGAACCCAGGCAAAGCCGGGATGCAGCGCCCTCCCACGCACCCCGTGGATGTGGGTGCCCAGGTGCCCGCGCCGCCTTCAGGTGGCGCTGCAGTTCAATCTCCAGAGTGCGCGACCCGCGCGACCCTCCCGGGCGCCCCCAGAGTCTGGGGCTCCCCGCCCCTCGAGCGCGGCCTCCCGCGAGCGCGGAAGAAACGAGACTCCAGGAGTGCTGTGGGAAGCTTGGGTTTATGGTCCGAGCCCGGTGCCAGGAGGCCGAGGCAGGAGGCTCCCTGTCGGGCAGGATCTAGTAGGAGCAGACGAAGGGCAGGCGCCGGCAGCACCGGGCGCGTCGCCAGTGGCCCCCTAGAGGACAGAGCGGCGACGTCAGCGCCCGGGACCGCACGGCAGGGACAGCCACGCGGTGTCCTCGCTGTGATCCAGGACGCAGGCTCGTCCTCCCCCGCGCGTCGCAGAGGAGGCCGCGCTGGCCGTCTCCGCCGCCGCCAGGTGGTGCGCAGCCCGCACACCTGTGCCCGCCCGCACCTGCGCTCCCGGCTGCTCAGCCAGCCGGCTCCCCCTCCGCTCCTCCCTGGCGGCGCCCCCTGCTCACATCTGCTCGCGAACCACACCTGTCACCTGTCACTCGCGTGGTCCCCCCGCTCCCGTCGCAGGAGCCAGGGACACCGCCGCGGCCCGGCCCGGCACAGAGCAGCGCCGCGCTGCCCGTGCTCCCCGGATCCCGCATTCAGGTCTGGGGTTCGCAGGGGACGGAGGGGAGCCCCTGGCACCCGCGTGCAGGCAGCTGCCCGGGACAGCGCCTGGGGGCTGCTCTGCCGCCTTCTCGGCCGCTGTGCCTCACCTTTGGTGCACAGCGCCACGCAGCGGCCCTTCCCATTCTGCGGCTGCCCGAGGGCCCAGTATCCAAAATCCCAGCTGCTGCAGTCCGTCCAGCGAAACTTCTTCCACAGGAACTAGAGCGAGACCGGGAGGCGGTCAGAGCGGGCGATCCGGGCGGCTGGGAGGACCCAGGGACCCAAGCACAGCCGCAACTCAGCAGCCCCCTGGCCGGAAGCCCGGCGCCCTCGCCGGCAGCAGGAGAGCCTGGGCCTCTTGCTACCGCGCAGGCGCCTGTTGGGCTGCGCAGGATGTGCCCACGATTCTCTGCAGTTCTAACAAGCTGCCCGGTGATGCTGGTCCTTGGACCGCACGCTGAGTACCGGATATGACGTCATCTATTCCCCCATGATCCCGGAACCAGCGGAGAGAAGAGCCCCACATCAGGGATGAACAAACTAAGGGTCCAGGAAAGGGTTCATGAGGGACTGAGTGTCTGCCTGCTAGAATCAGTCTCCTGGCCCTAGTGTTGTGCTGGTGAGTGTTTGGAAAGCCAGCTCTGGGGGAGGATGAGGAGGTGCAAAGGAGGAAGCAGCCCTGATTTGGACTGTGCTGTAGGTGGGCTCTGAAATGCTCCCCCAAAGCCCATGCATTTAAGGCATGGTTCCCAGCCACGGGGCAATTGGTACGTGGTGGGCCCTTTAAGAGGTGGAGCTTAGTGGGAGGAAGTTAGGTCACTGGGGCGTAGCCTTGGGAATACTGGGACCTGGGCTCTCTTGTCTGCTCTGCCTGATGGCAGCACACCTTCTGCCCAGGTATGCCACAGCACCACAGGCTAAGAGCGACATCCCAGCCCTCCTGGGCCAGGCAGCCCCTAAGACCGCCATGGCGAACCTTTTAAAGCTTTCAATGATACAGACAGCCTGCTGGAGCACACGTGCCACAGGTTCGCCACCAGGCCCTGAGACAGCCAGAAAGAACTTCCCACACCCAGATGGTGCCCACCGCTTACCCAGCCCTTGAGGATGCCTCCAATCCAGACCTGGGCCTGGTTGATCTTGCTGGCCAGCAGGAGGATGCGAGAGTTGGCACTATAGTTGTGAATGGAGACCAGGTTGCCTCCGTAGCATCTCTTGCAGATGTTCTGCGGACAGAAGGCATAGGGTAGGGACTTGCGCCCCTGTCACTTTCCTCTGTCCCTGGGGAAGACCTCTGCAACCCCCTGTGGGTTAGAGCTGAGGGACCTGTTCCCCTTCTCAGTCCTTTCTTCCTGAATCACACCTCAGAACATCCTTGCACAAGTAATAATAATCATAACCACCACTTACTGACCGGTCCCTGGATTATTCCAAATGCATCATCTTGTGGAATCCTCACCCCAACTCCAAGAGATTCATACTGCACCACACAGTCAGCCCTCCGCACACATCAGCTCCCTGTCTTGGATTCAGCCAACCATACAGCAAAAACAGCTTTTAAAGTTTTGTCTTGCCAGGCATAGTGGTGCACGACTGTAATCCCAACACTCAGGAGGCTGAGGCAAGAGGGGGATGCCATCAAGTCCAGCCTGGGCTGCATACTGAATTTGAGAGCAGTCTGAAGTATATAGCAAGTCCCCGTATCAAAAAATTTCTTTTTCTTAAACCTCTCCCAAAATGTGTCTGAGGCCATCTGTGTATCTGGAGCAGTCCCTGGCACATAGTGTAGGCATGGTATTTGTTTAATTCATCAGTTAAAGGATAAACTAGAAATCTTCCTCCTCCTCGAATACACAGATCCTGTGCAGACATTTTTTCCTGTCACTATCCTCTGATGCACAGAGTAACGACGATTTATATAGCATTTACGTTATACGAGGGTTTTCTCACTGTACTGAGGATGGAACCCAGGGCCTTCACACTGAGCAGCATCCCAGCCCTTTTTATTTTAGACAGGAGCTTGCTAAATTGCCCAGGTAAGACTTCAACTTGTGATCCTCTTGCCTCAGCCTCCCAAGTGCCAGGTGTGTGCCACATCTGGCCATATTAGGTGTGGTACATCTAGAGACGTCGTGAAGTAAGCTGGTAGCTTACCAGAGGTTACAAGCAAACACTATACACTTTTATATAAAGGACTTGAGCATTAGCCAGATTTGCTGTCCCCGGGGCCTGAGGGAGTGACGCCATGGGTGAAAAGCAGAGGCGGAATCCCACATGGGTATCTCGAGTACCAAGGCCCCTTGTTAACCAGCGGTTCTCAAAGTGCAGTCCTCAGACCACCATACAATATCATCCAATTCATGACTCACCCAGGAGTCATGCACGCCCCTTCTCAGGCTTCACCCCGACTCCTACCTCAGAAACTGGGAGCAGGGCCCCCAAATCTGTACTTTAACAAAGCTCCCGGGTGATTCTGAAAGTAGGCTGAGAACCACTCTCATGTAAACAGGCACAGAGCAGAGGCCGAATCCCCGCTCCTCGCCCCCACTCCTCTGCAACAGCACCTGCCGCTCACCTGGGCTCGACTAAACCTCTCGGGAGTCTGCACCAGCAGGTAGCGGCAGGTCTGGCAGCCGGGATCCTGCTGGATTGGAATGGTGTCCTCCTCCCCAGGGCACGGCAAGTCTTTGTCTAGGGCAGCTGCGTCTGACTCTGCGGCCTCCTCGCCGTCCTCCTTGTCCTCAGACGCGTCCTGGCGCCCCAGAGCCTTGGCCTTGTCTCCCGCCGTCAGCATCGCCTCCTGCTCCTGGGCGCCACCCAGACCCCAGCCCAGCTCCACCTCTGGGCTCTGCAGAGCCGGAACCGTGTTCTCTGGGAGGAAGAGTTCCCTGGCCGTCAAGCAGAGCGGGGGCCCGCCAGGACCGCGGACAGCTCCAGCGAGCCCAGGTTTCTGGGGCCGCAGGGGAAAAGCGTGGTGCTGCCCAGGGGGCCCCTGGGGTCCACCGCCAAGTGGACACCGCGAGCGTGTATTTGGGGGCAGAGAGGACACATGCGTGAGGAGCTGGGTAATCGTCAGCCTTTGTCTTACAGTTCAGACCAAAGAAAGTTTACCAGAGAGGGACAGGGTCAGCGGAGGAGATGGTGGCCTTGGCCCCCGGGGGTTAGAAATAAAAAGGGGGGGTGCAGAAAAGCAAGAGATGAGCGGGGAGGGCCGGGCGGACGTACCCAGGTGGAGAGCAGAAACCGCCCCGAGCAGGAGCAGGGCCAGGGGCAGGCAAAGGAGGATCCCCATGTCTGCCCAGCCTCCAAGTGGGACCGGGACCACCGTCCTCCGCAGCAGCCCCTGGCGCACTGTGTAGATGTGGCGTGCGTTTAACTTGCCAGTTGAGCGGGGACCCTGAAGAGAGACAGGCAGGGTGACGGGCACACAATTTCTGTCCCAGGACCCTCTCCTCCCTGAAACGGTGCCGGCCCGGAGCCCAGGCCCACGCGGTCAGGTCTGCTCGGCTCCCAGCACGTTCTGCTCGTGCTGGGAGACAGAGGGGAGGACACTGGCCAGGGAGGACCCAGGCTTCTTGTCGTCTCCACGGCTCCCATGTCTACCAGGGCTGGACCCCCGTCCCAGGTCCAGGGAACCACTCACCTCCTGAGAGTCTGCACAGTGCCCTGGCTCCTGGGCCCCACACGCAGCCCTTATAACGGGCTTTGGGGAAGTGAGGAGGGCCCGGGAGATTGCCCCAGGCTGGGGATGGGGTCCCCAGCTGATAAAGTCTGCCCCACCCCCGCCTCGCTTCCCTAAATGGGAGCCCTGCATGCCCGGCTCTCTTCCCCGTGTCTGCCCTGTGAGTGCCCCTCAGGCCCAAGCAGGGCCCTGAGCTCGGGAGCTGTCTCAGGGCCAGTGTCCCCAAGGGGAAAGGGACAAGCCCCCACTGTCCCCAGCACTTGTTTACACAGGTGCTTGCTGTACTTCACCTCCCCTGTCTCCAGCATCACCCAATCTCCAACTCCACCCACCGCCAATGGGGGTGCGCGCTTCCCTCCGCACAGGTGTGCCGATGCATCGGAGAAGGGCCGTGGCTTCCCCAGGTCACACGGGAAGCCAGGGAGCTGGGCCGCCCAGGGCCTTCGGCTCCAAAACTCTTCTCTCCCTTCCTTTACTCTTTCTCTTCCTCCTCCTCCCTTCCTTTTTCTCCCTCCCCCTCTCCCATTCCTCCCCTCATCTCTTTGTGTTGTGTTGTTTGGGACAGGATCTTCCTTTTTTTGGAAACAGGGTCTCACTGTACCATTCAGACTGGCCTTGAGCTCACTCTGTAGCCCAGGCTGGTCTTGACCTCTCAGTGATCCTCCTGCCTCAGCCTCCCGAGTGCTGGGATTACAGGCATGTGCCACTACGCCTGGCTCTCTCATCTTTCATATGTCAAAGGTTCTGCTGTTTCTCCTGTACTGTGAACCTAGATCAAGATTTCCCAACCTTTGCCTGGTCGTGTTTGGGGCCCTGTGGTATTTGGGGGAAACGGCCCTGTGCATCGCAGAAAGCCGAGCGATGCTCCGTCTCTCCCTGATAGAGATCAGCAGCCCCTCCCCTCTGTGAGGGCGTCAGCAGTGTCTCCACAGCCTCCCTAATGGCCTCGGAACATCAGGGCACAGATCTAGACAATGCCTGTGCCCAGCCACGGGCAGTGCAGAGGCAGCGGCTGGGGTGAGAAGCCCCACGCAGAGGCCCCCAGACCGCTGTGGAGCCCCCTCCTCCCGACCCTCGTCCCCCACGCACCACCACCCTGGCCACCGCCAGAGTCGGGACCAGAATCCAGCGGCTGAGTCAGACACAAAGCCTAAAGATGCCCCGAAGGGTCTTCGTGGGATGAGTAATGTCTCCACGCAGCCTTCCTTGAAAATCAGCGTTAGTGCAAAACATCCACATGAGCGTGAGGTCAGACGTTTGTCCAAGCTTCTGTCAGGTTCTCCGCGGCCACAGCCTGACTTGGCCAGGTCTCTGTGCCCAGGGCTGGGGGCTCAGCCCCGAGACTCCTGCCGGACAGGGCATCTCGGCATCCGCCCCCCGGCCCGGCCCCCAGCCCAGGGGGACAGCAGGGACGGGGAGCCCAAGGGGCAGCAGGCCTGGCTTCATCTTCGCCTCTGCCCCCCCCCCCAAGCGCCCTGCAAATGGAGAAGTGGCTGTGAGGCCTCCTCTGGGCCGATTGCGGAGTAACAGCCCCGCTGTTATCTCCCAGGCCAACGGACCCAAGCCTCAGCTTATCGACCTGATGGGAGGATTGGCCAAGCCCGGGGCCCCAAATCCTGACACTGCATTCCAAGCTAGGGCCTCCCAGTAGAGGGGGAGGAGAACAGAAAGAACCCCCTCTCCTCCTTCGTGGGGGCCCTGGGCCAGGCACCATTTTGCTTAGGGGTAGGGTGGCCGGTGTCACTGGCTTTCCTTAGGAGGAGCCAGCTCCGGCATTAGCACGGCGGGCATCGTTCCAGGTCGAGAGGAGGAGGTGGCCTCTCAGAGGCTTCCAACGAGTGCCCAAGATCACAGAGCCACTCCGAGGCAGCCTAAGCCAGTCCTCGGGCTCCCCATGGGCCCCCGAGCTGCCTCCACCAGCCTCTCTGGGACCTCCCTCCCTCCCTCCCTTCCTCCCACTCTGGCCCCTGGGTCCCCCCTGTTGACCCTGGACAAAAACAGCCGAATGACTCGGTGACACTGTCGGTGACCACCCTGGTCCTGTCGGGTTTAAGAGCAAAAGTAATGTTGGATCCGCCCCGGCCCCGGCACCAGGCTCCACCTTGGTTTGGTCCTCGCTGTGCTCCACACTTCATCCTATGAAAGGCCGAGGGCTGCCGTGTCCCCTCTCCACGCTGACCTGGGAAAGCGCGGAGCAGTCAGGCTGCTGTCGGCGCTCACAGCTGACCCGTGGCACGTGGGCCTCGTGTGCCGACTGCAGTCCTTGTCCGATGCAGCCGAGGGTTCGACGCGCCCGTGGGCGACGTAGTCCACGGCGCCATCGTCTCCAGCACCGCTGGGGCCCCCAAGACTCTGGCCTACCGTTTACTGCTATGTCCACAGGGGTTTAAACTCTGCCTCCTGTCCAAGACCCAGTCCCGCCCGCCCTCCTCAGGAGTCAGCGTCGCCGTCTTGGGAGGCGTGCATTGGGATCCACAAGATCCCAAGCAGCATCTCGGCTGCCAAGAGAGGACAGCGGCAGCGCCTGCCTCTCGTGAGGTCAGGACGGTGCGGGCACACGGGGAGCTGAGCCAAGCTGTGGCCCTCGCCAAAGAAGCAGTGGGTGCTGCTGGCCAGGGCGTCTCCCCTGAGCTGTGCCCTGGGAAGGGATCCAGGGGCCCCCTCCTAGAGGAGGCCTGGGGCCCGCAGAGCCCAGGAGCACCTGGGAGGAAGGCTGCACGCATATGCACAGCCCATATTGGGGCTGTGAGGCCACTCTGCTTACACCGTGGTCTTTGCTTTAAAAGCAGAAACTTTCCGTGGATGGGCAGTGAGCTTCCTGTCCAGGGAACTGCAGGCTGGGCCATGCAGGAAGTGGACGTGGAGCAGCGGGACCTGAGCCCTGAAGTCTCCTCCTGCCCCCTATGAAACTGTCCAGCAGGACTGCAACACACTCCCCAACCCTTGTACTATGTGGGAGGGGGCCAGCCACCTCAGGCGCCTGGGAAACGGTGTCCAGGACACAACAGGTCCTTGTCATTGGAGGGGTTGGGAGCTGGGCATGGACACCCCTCCTATGGGATGTGTGCCGTCCCTGGGGACTTCCTGATTTCCTACAGCAGTGAGCCAAGCGCTTTCTGGGGTGGGGTGGTGAGTGACCAGAGACCCTTGAATGGGGTCCAACATGGGCCCCCGGGCTCCCTCTGAAGCCCTAAAGGGCCTAGGGACAAGGGTGCTTTTTTGGCAAACACCCGTGACACAGGTGCCCCGGGCAGGTCCGGAGGATAGGAGACACCCGAGCTCACTCTGCTCTCCCCAGCAGGCTCCAGGGTCCTCACCCCACCCTCCATCCTCTGACCCCTTGGGGGGACGGTGTGGAACAGGGCTGGGGGCTGTGGCAGGAGGTTCCAAGGTGGGACCACGCTGCAAAGAGCAATGACCACAGGACAGAGGGAACCGGTTCCTGGACGCGATTTTATTGCAGGGCAGTGGAAGGAAAGGTGTGGTCAGGGGAGGGGAGCAGCCGCTGGCAGGGCAGGCAGACGGGAGCTCCCGGCTGGGACTGGCTCAGTAGGAACAGGCGAAGGGACGTTTCACACCACAGTGAGATAGGCGCCAGTGACCTCCTGTGCAGACAGATTGGAGGGGAACTTTGACCTCGTGGAGGTGACTCGGAGACCCAGGGTGGCCTCCCTGGGGAGCAGGCTCCCACCCTGTGCCTCCCCATGGGCGCCCCTAGCCCTCACCCCCAAATCCTCCCCATCCCGCCTCACCTCGGGTACACAGGGTCACACATCCACCAAGGTTATGGCCACCCCAGGGCTGCCCAGGACTCCAGTATGCGAAATTCCAAGGGCTTCTGTCCATCCAGCGGAAGTGTCTGCAGTGACCCTACGGAAGGTGGAGAGGAAGGGGTGGCTGCAGGGGGGCTGCGGGAGGCAGATGGGGGACGAGCACTGTCCTTGCAGGGTCCATGCAGCTGCTGCTGCTGCCCGCAGGACACCTGGCCACGAGGGATATGGCGCTGGCCAGATGCACCCAGCACCCTTACCTTGCCGACGAGCAGGCCTCCAATCCAGATCTGGCCCACGTTGAGCGTCCTGGAAGTGCACTGCAGCTGATAATTATAGGCGAAGTTGTGGACGGACGCGAGATTGCCGCGGTAGCATCTCTGGCACACCAGCTGCAGGGCGGGAGGAAGAGGCAGAGCACAGTGTCCATGGCAGGAGCTCGCACGACCACGGCGGGGTCCCCGCATCTCCACCTTCCACACCCTCGCTCCTGTCCCCATCTCCGTGACGACGGGAGACCAAATGCAATGGGAGCCCAGCCACTGCCCCTTGGCCTGGCACCTGCAGAGACCTCCGACCCGCAGAGGGGACAGCGACCATGACAAGGATGCCGGGACACACCGCTCACCTGAGCACTATTAAATGTCCTGGGGGTACTCAGCACAACGTATCGGCAGGTTTTGCATCCAGGGCTGCCCACGAACTTTATTGTGTCCTCTTCTGTAGGACACTGGATGTCCTCGTGACCCACGTCCAGCTCTGAGCTGGACTCCACCTCACCCTCCACCTCAGGGCCGTCGTCACTTCCCGAGCCCCCTTCCGCCTCCTCCGCCTTGTCCTCCTCCTGCAGCGGCGTCGGCGCCCCAGCAGCGGCCTCCCCAGAGGCCCATTCTGCCGTGTCCCAATCCCGGGCCAAGCTCTCCTCTCCCCGCGGGCTGTCCAGGCTGGACATTTCCGTCCCTGGCAGGAGAAAGAACAAGTGTCTCTTTGCGGAGTCCCTGTTCCTCCAGGACCACGGACGGCTCCCGCCTTGGCCTGGGTGGACCCCACCTACCACAGGGAGGAAGGACGCGGCCCAGGGACCCTGAGACCAAGACTTACTGAGACGCTGGGCAGACACCACCCCCACCAGAAGACCCAGGAGGAGCAGGAGTTTCATCTTGGCCTCGACCTGCAAGGGAGAAAAGGTGTCACACACACACACATGCAGCCAGGCTACTGGGAAACTTTGGGAGCTGGGTAGAAACCAAAGGCAAAGCAAGAATAAAGGTCGGTGACCCCAGCCCTCTGGGAGGCTGAGGCAGGAGGATCACAAGTTCAAGCCCGGCCTGCAACTTAGCAACCCTCAGGGGAATTATGCAAGGAGGAGGACCAGGACACCAGCGCTGCAGGCCCAGGGAACCAGAAAACCACTACAGTCCCTGCAAACCCGCCAGGAACCCAACACTGACCCCCACAGTCACTAGAGACAGCTGCACCACAGGACAGCTGAGAGCGCTCAGCTCCCCTCCTAAAGTCTCCTGGGTCCTCAGGAATCTCCTTGTCCAGTGCCCCATCCAACTCCCGGGCCTTTTATACAGACGCTGGGAGGAAGTGGCCAATGATAAGAACCCTTTCTTCACTTGCCCGCGGAGCCCAGCCGCTCCCCAACGGCCCGCTCTGTCCCGATGCCCGCGGCCACACAGCCCGCTCTGTCTTGATGCTGGCCGCTGCTCCTGCTCCCGCCAGAGTCTCGGCCTCAGCTGCCTCTGCACTGTGGCTGCGGATCCCACGGACTCGGAGAAGAGATTGCAGCACCTCTTCCCGGGCGGGTGAAGAAAGCCGGTGTCGCCACACCGTGGAGCACGGCTCCGCCACAGAGAAGGGTGCGCTGGTCTTCAGCAGACAAATGGGTGCTCAGGGGGTTGATATCACAGGTGTCTCTGGTAGGAGCACCCCAAGTATAAATCAATGAAACAACAAAATAGGAGACAGTAACAGGGAAGGGGGAGGCGGGTCTCTTGCAAATGGAAAGGGACCAATGCATGCACGAGGGGCGAGTAAAAGGAAGTAGGGTGTCGCGTGTGCACACCGGCTCCCCACAGACCCCCCCATGATGCCCTGTGTGCATGGGCCGACACAGACAGACAAATGCTTAGGCAGACAGACAAACATCCATTACAATCCGAAGTGGACACCTGAGCAACGTCACTCTTTGGAGACTGGATCCTCTAGCAGTGAAAGGGAAAACTGCACTAGGAAAGATTGTTCTTTCTAAAACCTCGTTCTCTTTGAAGCTACCCAGCTCTGTAACTATTTCACGGCGCCCTAATTGCTTTCTGGATCCCGGGTAACCACGAGAGTGTAACGGAACATCCAGGATGCCTGACTGTACCCAGCTTTGTGGTCATTAATCTGGTCTTGTAACTGATGGTCATTAATCTAGCCCTGTAAGCGAGGATCTCACTCTGCTGGCTAATCAGAACTGCCAGGCTGTCCTGTTCCGCCTTTGTAACCGCTGCTTCTGCCTCATGAAAGTGCTGCCTCACAGACACTCGCAGCCTGGCGCTTGTTGGAAGTTACTCCAGCCGGGACCGCCGGTGTAAGCAAAGCTGCTCACGGCCTCCTGATGTCCTCAGGCGTCGTTCCTTCGCCGGACTCGGTTTTGCTACAGCAGCAGCAGCAGCAGCAGCAGCAGCAGCACTGCTGATCACACGCAGAACCTTAACAAAGTTACACATTGTGTGACTGTAAAGCCGAGAACACTCTGGACACCGCCAACACCCGTGTCCTGCAGATACTGTACACGACAAGGCCGAGAGGCGGACCTGTGCTGCGGGCCTGGGCACGCTCTGCTGGGCAGGGAGGAGCGGACCTCAGCGGAAGCGGGTTGCAGGGAGTTTATACAGAAAAAGCCGGCTTCGTGGGCAGCAAATTGGTCAGATGCACCCAGTACCCCCTGGCCCTGCCCACAAGCCGGCTCCAGTGAAATAAATTCATCAGAAGTAAAGCACATCAGAAATTTGCATCTAGCTTTTTGTTTTTTTGTTTTTTTTAAGACAAGGTCTCACAACATAGTTCAGCCTGGCCTTGAACTCACTGTGTGAACCCACAGTGATCCTCCTGCCTCAGTCTCCTGAGTGCTGGGATGACGGGTGTGTGCCACCCTGCCCGGCATACCTAGCTTTATGCAGTGTGAAGCAAACAAAAATCCTGCCTTCCAGTGAAGAGTTTTTGTGGCAAGGAAGACTATGTTTCAGTGGACAATGGCCTCTCCCATAAATTGACCGAAATCTTGTATCTGTCCATCCACTCTGTAAGCACATATTTCAGACAAATCAATTTAATAAGACTTGAAAAGCCAGGCGTGGTAGTGCAAGCTTGTAATCCCAGCACTCGGGAGGCTGAGGCAGGAGGATCGTTGTGAGTTCAAGACCAGCCTGGGCTACAAAGTGAGTTCAAGGCCAGTCTGAACTGCATAGTGAGACCTTGTCTCAAAAAGACAAAAAAAAATTGAAACACAAAGAAAAGTACTGACGGCTGGAGGCAGCAGCACAGAGAAGCATCCCAAGGGACAAGCGTGAGAAGCCCAGTAAGAAGCCCACCACAGAGAGGTAGGGTGGACCTGAGGACCCTCCCCCTCAGACCCTGGGAACACGTGCCCCCAAGCCTGTTCAGGGACCCCAGGCTGGGAGGAGTGGCGGGCGCCAGGGCCCTGGCCGCAAAGTCGGCCAACTGTCGCTGGGCAGATAAGAGGTGGCGAAATGGCCAGCGCCACAGGCCAGCCGAACCGTTGCTGTGAAATTACCCACAACTCCTGCACTTCCTCGCCAGGGTGCCAGCGACTGCAGGGACCAGCAGGAGCCCAGGCAAGGACGGCCCCGCCACGTGTGTCTGAGCCTGGAGCACCTGTGCAAAGGGCCGGGCACGCTGACCCCGGCTCCACGTCTGTCTTGGTTCCTTTTCTCTCGTTTCTGAGACAAAATACCTGACGCCCAGAATTAAGGAGAGAAAGCTTTATTTAGCTCACAGTTTGTGGAGGTTTCAGTCCATTCTTGGCTGGCTCCAAGGCAGGGTGACTGACACATGACAGAGGACAAATGTTCATGGTGGCAGAAAACAGCAAAAACAACACGAGCAAGAAGGAGGAGCCGCAGCAAGCAGCCTCTGTCCCTCCCTTATACTGCACGCAGGCTCCCCGTCCCAGGGCGGGTGCAGCACTCACTCCCCCAACCCCAGCACTGGATCAGAGTCAATCATAAATCTAGAAGTGCCCCATGACTGCATGAGGCTTTGGGGGGACACCCAGACACAAACCACGACAACATTCTTCCCACCACGGCCTGGAACAAGAAACCTCATCTGTCTTATCCACTGCCGAGCGCTCTGCCCGGGTCACAGAAGTTTATCAATGATGTATTGGATTCATTCATCAATTAACTAATTACCCTGAAGTGTACAAGCTGGAGAAAGCCCAGCCGAGTGTAGGTCAGGGTACAGATCCACTCTTTCTGATTCTGCCGGTGCTTTCTGAGCCTGAGTTTCCATGGATGCCACCTTTGGCCAGACCCTGGGTTTTGGCCCCTTCATTCATTAATTCATTCATTTATTTATTCGTCCAACACCAGTCAGGGCAGACTCTGCTTTGGGGAGGTTCAACACAGCAGGTAAACAGGACGCACAGAATGAGCTGCTTGGTCTCTGCCTGTCTGTCTGTCTGTCTCTCTCTCTCCACAACAAAAGAAACAGCTACTGTGCGCATGGAGTTCCAAGTGAATGGAAGACACACACTGGTGTGTTGTGATCACACTGACACACTCAGAGACACCGTGGGACAGAGGACGGACACACACACACACACACACACACACACCTTGACCAGTCATCTTCGAGAGCATGATTTGCGCTTCCTTCCTCCAAGGAGTCAGGGATTAAGGGGCTTCTGCTAAGGACATGCTCCTTCCCCCAGGGCCCAGGATGCCCGTGGATGACGAAAGCCGAGCCAAGCACGGTCCTCATCATCCGTTACCTTAAGCGCTGGGTCAGACCCTTGCTCAGTGCTGGGTGCAGCCTGCGATCGCTCAGGAAGTCTGTCTCAGAGTTTGCTAAGCAAGCTAGGTGAGCCCTAACCTTGCACAGCCCAGCTCAGAGATTCCCGGGAACATTCGGCTGCGAAGGAGGGCCCCAATTCTGCCGCCACAGCCCTAAACCCGCGGTCACCTCGGGTTCCAGCAGGGCCGCACAAAACGGGCTGCCCAAGCCAATGGAATTGTCCCTCCATCCACAAAGACTCCCGGGGCCATCTTGCCCACCAGATCTGAGACAATGGTCAGCCAGCCTCTGGCCCAC